CGCCCCGCCTCCGGCAGCGGCCCCTTCCTCCCGCAGCTGGTGCTGTGGGGCCGCGGAGCCGCGTCGCTGTCTCTATGGCCCCGGATCCCAGCGCAAAGGTGAGGGAGGTGGGGAGTGCGGGCGGCGAAGGGGCCTGAGCCAGAAGAGGGGTCGGGGGCGCAGGTCAGGTAAGGCCTCCCCACGTCCATTCCACCCTCCAAGCGGGGCCAGGCCTTTCTCATCGCCAAGCCCCCGGTCCTGCATAAAGGCTTTGAAGGAGCGGGGGTCAGGCCTTGGGCCGTGCGGGGCGCAGACCGACCACCGCCGAGTTGGGGACCCGCGTGGCGGACAGTGTCCCCAGGATCTGGGTCACGTCTCCCGGTGTCCAGCGGGATCGAAGGAGAGCTTGTCCTCGGGCCGCAGCAGTGGAGACTGAGGTTAGACCTGGAGAAAGGAGAGAATCGCCGACTGTCCTGGATAGTGAGGGGGTGGGGGGGCTCCTGCGAGCCAGGAGAGACCGCCATCCTACTGGGCAGAGGGGGGCCGCCTGCACCAGGCAGGTGGGCGTCTGGATGAAGGTCGAGAGCCCGCTGGTCCTCCATTGATCCTGTTGGGAGGGTCCCCCCTCCCCAGTGTCCTCCACCCTACAATCCACAATAATGGGAAGATGATCCGAGTTTAGGGGGTGCCCTGGGGAGGGACTCGAACCGTGGAACTCGGGGTGGAGTGTGGGGTGTGAACTGGAGACCTTGAGCTCCCTTTGCCACTGGGGTGGAGGGTGGCGTGCTCTGTCCCTCCTGTCTGGCCCCACCCTCCCAACAGGTTAAATGGGGGCTGAGCGCTCCTGCCCGGCTCCTGTCTAGAACTGCCCAGGCGTAGAGGAGCAGAGGTGCAGTTCCAGTCTCTTTCCTCCGCAAAGCTAGGGCTCCACTCCTGCCTGGGTCAGTGACCCTCCCTGCCCTGCAGAGCAGCTTTGACCCATGCACCCGTCAAGCACACAGGTCAGAAGTCTCCCGGTCCCCTGCACCACACACACACTTGGAATCTCGCCTTACAACTGGGACTTTCGGGAAGGGAGGCGGGGTTCTCTGCATGCACCCCAGTGGACACTGGCAGCCTCCAGGCCTGCAGCGAGAATGGGACCTCTGTATGCACGTGTACTTTTCTCTGCATGGGTGTAATTATGTGTTTGAGGACTCTGAACACATATGTACATGACCCTTCTGTGACCACGACTGTGCCTGATCCCTGTATCAGTGGTTAGTGTGCGTGTCCCTATGCATGCATGTGTGTGTGCAGTCGTTTGTGTGTACCCACATATGCGGGTTTATAACTCATTAGCCTCTTAAGTTCTGTGACCTGTAAACAGATGGGTGTGTGAGTACGTCTTTACATGTGAATACGTATGACCACAGCCCTGTGTGAACACACATGCAAAAACCTCCCTGAGTGTGCCCTGCTGTGGACACACACTCACAGCCCTCCTTGTGAACGTGTGTGCACACCCATGTGTGTGCTATCACCTTTCTCTGAACCCACGCGCGTCTTAGGGTAGGCCAGTGCAAGTGTGCCAGGCACCGTGCTGAGTGGCCCCTCGGCCTGGGGCGTGTTCCTCCCGCCCAGTCCTGGAGACCGATCCCTCCTAGCCATAAGGCTCTCCCTCTTCTGTGCTGAGCAAATAGGAGGCCCAAAAGCAAACAGGTGTGCACCACAGCGAGGGGCGGGGCGGGGCAGCTTGCCTGGAGCCTCTACCGCCCGCCCCCACCGCAGACAGGAGACAGGAGCTGGCGTTCTCCCTGTGGTCCAGACCCTCCTCTCTCCCCACCCCCGGGCTCTGCCCACTGCGTCTCTTGAGCTAGTACTCCAAATTCCTGTTGTCCCTCCAGCCAGCTCGTGATCCCTCCCCACTCTCCAAGGCCAGATAGTTAATATTTGACCTGGAAGGGAGAGGGGACACCAGTGGCACCCTTTGGCCCTGCCTGTGGGTGTCTGATGGGACGAGTAGGTCTGGCCTCCCCCATGCCTTGCTCAGCCTATGAAGCCCTCGGGAGCTCCCTCAGAGAGCAGGAGGTCTGTTATGGGGGTCAGAGAAGTCTTCCACCCACCCTACCCCAGCCCCAACTGGTGGGAGGGAGTGTCTTTAAGATGTGAGGGGTGGTGGGGGGGCAGCAGGTGGTGTAGTGGTTAGGGCACTCGGTTCCCACGTGGCTCACCACAGTTTGAGTCCTGGACCTGGTGGCTTGCTTTTTCACTTTCTCACTCACTCTCTCTGGTGAGCGCATGTGCCCTGTGGCACATTTTAAAAGATAATAATGATAAATAAAATTTTCAAAAATAAGATATACCAAGGGAAGTGGCCCAGAGCTCAGGGGTCTCCTCATTCCCCTCTCTTCAGTGCTGTCTCAGCTCAGTGCCATGTGCACCAGCCCCTGCACAGACCGCGTACCTGTGCAGCCAGGGGACCCAGGTCCCCCCTCCCGTGCCTCTGAGTGCCTGCTCACAGGCAGGGACACGAGTGAATGCCCAGCCAGCGGGTGCAGTACAGACTCGCACGGGCAGGACAGAGATGTGCACCTCAGAGAGAAATGCCAAGGAGAAGTGTCTAATTAAAGAGAAATTCCAGAGGGAGCTCTCAGGCCAGGGACAAGAAAAAACAAAGGGAAGCAGGGCAAAATAAACAAAGGCCTATTAAACATCGCTCAGCCTTCCTGCGGCCTATTAACCATCGCTCAGCCTTCCGGCGGAGGCACCCCCGCAGCAGCAGGGCAGCAGCTGGTCGGGTCTCACTGTGGGACGGAGCAGGCATTCCCGAGAGCTGGAGCTCCACCGAAAAGGGGCCTAGCAGAGCTTCTGGCGGGGCCAGAGAAGGGCTGGAACCCTAGGTTTGGGTTGAAGAGAGTCTTATAAGGAGGGCAAGTTCTGGGATCAGCAGATGGCAGAATGGGTACGTCGATGGACTACCACATAGTTGACCGCAGTTTGAGTCCCGGACCTGGCAGCTTAAAACACACCTGATACGTGTGCATGTGTGCTCAAGATCTCGAGAGAAGGGACTGCAGCGCAGCCATCCCCCCAGGACATGATTTCTTGATTTCTGTCTCTCTGACAAGTGCACACAGGCCCATAGCAAAAATCTCTCTTAACAAAAGGGAGGGCAAGTTCTACACCCCAGCTTCTGCCTCAGAATAGAGATGGTCAGGACTGCGAGTCCTCGGTCCTGGCATGGGGGTTCTGGATGCTGGGCCTCTTCCCTTCACCTCCTGAAGTCTGAGTAATGCGATCGTCCACCCACACACAGATCAAAGTGCCTTTTTTCCTATTTTTTCTTCAGAAAACAGACCTCGGAGAACCAGGACGTGCTCTGCTGTCGGGGGCAGGGTGACCCCATCCGTGACCCACAACCCCTCCATGACTACACAACTCTCTCTCACCATGGAGTATGCATTTGATGCAGAAAGCCTTGTGATCTGCCCCTCCCTCTGATCTCTCAGCTGTGATTCCATGGCCATACAGCCCTGTGACTCCATGTCTCCCCGGTTCCAGGACCCCCCCTGGCCCCATGACTCCTTGACCCCCACGGCCTTATGACCCCTAACATTCCAAGTGACCTCCTTGGACTCTGACCCCTGTGAGTGTTTGTCCTATCGCCCCCTGTGATTCTGGTCCTGGCTCGTCTTAGGGGTCTTGTTGGTCTGGGCCTCCCCAAGAAGATGTGGGGTAGGCTCTTGCCTCTCCTCCTGAGCTTCTTCACAGCAATTGCAGTCCCCGGACCCTCGCTGCGGAGACCATCACGAGAACTAGATGCCACCCCTCGGATGACTATCCCCTACGAAGGTTAGACCCTCAGCCTTGGAAGACAGTGAGAGCCAGAGCTGGGGGTGGGGAGGCAGCGCCAGGAGGAGGCTCACGGCTCCTGCTCTCCGCAGAGCTCTCCGGGACCAGGCACTTCAGAGGCCAAGCCCAGAACTACTCGACACTGCTGCTGGAGGAGGCCTCAGCAAGGCTGCTGGTGGGAGCCCGCGGCGCCCTGTTCTCGCTCAGTGCCCGTGACATAGGAGACGGGGCTCACAAAGAGGTCAGCCCTGAAACCCCAGCCCTCTCAGGAGCTCCAGCCTCATCTAGCTCCCTGGCCCCTCAGCCTCCCAGAAACCCTGCCGACCTTCCTATAGTCCCTGGCTACACAGCGCGGCCCTTTCCAGCCCTGGTCTCCCTTGCATCCTGTGCTCTTCCTGAAATTCTCCCCACCCCAATCTCTGTAGCTCCCTGGGGTCCGATGGCCTGGTCCTGTGGGTGATGGGTATCGAGGTCAGTGTATCAACTCATTCCCTTTCCCCAACAGATCCACTGGGAGGCCTCCCCTGAGATGCAAAGCAAATGTCATCAGAAAGGGAAGAACAACCAGGTACGTGGCCTGCCCTGTCCGCAGCTCCTTTCTTCCCCCTCGGTCAGGGCCTTCAGGGTTCATGACGACACAGACAGGCGTACAGACCTGCCAGTCAGTCTCAGCAACCACGGTAAACATTGTGAGTGTTGCTGGGGTGGCAGGCCCTGGGCCCTGCAGTTCTTTCGGGGCGTGCACGCACACTCCACTGTGTTTTCCAAGTGGCCAGGGCTGGGATTCAAACTACAGCCAGCCATGTGAGATCCAGCTTCCTTAACCACCAAGACACGGCGCCAGCTGGGCACAGCACTTGTAATCCAAACATCTGGTGGCCTGCTAGTTTGGCCTGCAGTGGCATCTTAACCCCCCCCAGGGCTCCCAAGCAATAATCATAATAATAACCTCTTATAAATGCTTAGCTTTTATCTCACCTAGTCCTAGAATAAACACATGGCTAGCATCACCCTCCATCTTACAGATAAGGAAAAGGAGGCTTAGGTAGGGAGTAGCTCAAGCACCCAGCGTTCCCCGGAAGCACAGAGGGACGTGAGCGTCAGCCCCTGCTGACTGAAGAGCTCGGACCTGCAGAGGTCCTGTGTCCAGCTGTGTAACAGACCATCTGGGGAACTTCTAAAAGATGGTCAGGGACCAGCAGTTAGCGTAATGGCTATGTCGCTGGACTCCCATGTAGTTGACCATGGTTTGAGTCCTGGACCCGGTGGCTTAAACTCACGTGGGTGCGTGCCCAAGATCCCGAGAGGAGAATGGAGAAGGGATTGCGGTGTGGCCATCCCCCCTGGGGGGTGGTTTCTCACTTTCTCTCTCTCTTGTCTGTCTCTTTCTGGCAAGTGCACACGCCCTATAGCAAAAACCTCTCCAAAAAAAGAAAAAAAAATTAAAAATTAAATAATAAAAAAAATAAAAGATGGTCGCAGCCCACAGGGCAGGGGTTCTGATTGGGTGGGTCTGCAGTGACGTAAGTACCGCTGCAAACACAGCTCCAGGAGCTCCTATCAAAGGCTGCCTCTTGTTGCAGGGTGGCTAGAAAAAGTGGCTGACGAGCCAGGGGACCCCAGACCACAGAGGACCACAAATCTAGCTGGGAGTTTGGGCTTTGTCCTGCAATGCTGGGCACCCTCACAGTTTCATACTTAGAGTCTCTCAGACTTTAATCGACAAATGAATCCCCCAGATATATCAAAAATGCAGACAGTGGGACCAGCAGTTAGCATAATGGCTATGTTGCTGGACTTCCATGTAGTCAACTGCAGTTCGAGTCCTGGACCCGGTGGCTTAAACTCATGCCAGGCGCATGTGTGTTCCCAAGATCCTGAGAGAAGAATGGAGGAGAAGGGACTGTGGCGTGGGCATCCCCCGGGGGGTGATTTCTTGCTTTCTGTCTCTCTGTCTCTCTCTGGTGAGTGCACACGCCCTATAGCAAAAACCTCTCAAAAAAAGAAGCAAAGAGGGTGGCTGCTTGGGGTATTAGCTGGCAGAGAAGACCAGTGTGGCTAGCAGGGGGTGAGCAGGGCCAGATAAAGGGGCAGGGCCAGTCGTCCAGGCTCTGGAGCACGTGGGACTCTGCTGAGCGAGCTGGAGAGCCCCCTTAGTTATGGACCCACTTTACTTTTTATTTTTTAGTTTTACTTTAGTTTCTTTGTTTTTCTTTTGCCACAGGGTGTGTGCACTCACCAGAGAGAGACAGAGGGAGGAAAAGTGAGAAATCACTCTTTTAGAAAGAATGGCCATGCCACAATCCCGTCTCCTCTGTTCTCCTCAGGATTTTAGGCACACACGTGTCAGGCGTGTTAATTTCAAGTGGCCGGGTTTGGGACTTGAACCATACAGCTGTGGGATATAGCTGCCTTAACCTCTGTATTACCAGCTGGCACCCTACGTTAGTTTTTTTTTCTTTTTTTTTTTTTTTTTGGAGAGATTTTCGCTACAGGGCGCGTGCACTCGCCAGACAGACAGACAGAGACAGAGAGACAGAAAGCGAGAAATCACCCCCCAGAGGGGATGGTCACGCCGCAATCCCTTCTCCTCCATTCTCCTCTCGAGATCTTGGGCACGCACGCACACGCGCCCGGCATGAGTTTCAAGCCACCAGGTCCGGGACGTGAACCGCGGTTGACTACGTGGGAGTCCAGCGACATAACCATTATGCTAACCGCTGGTTCCCCCTACGTTAGTTTTTTAACGTGCTGTGTGAACTGGATCAGAGGGGAGTGAGTGTACTGATTGGTAGAACAGCTCTGGGAAGAGACGGGGCGGGGGGCAGCAGTGCCCTGTGCAGGCCACCGGGGAGGCGGGGTCGACGGGGACCTGTCCCCAGCAGAGCTCTGCGGGTGTGCTGCTGCACAGTGCGTGAACACACGCAGTCGTGTTTATTGAGAGTAGCAGCCCTCAGGAGGGCTGTCCACGTCGTGCGGCTGCTGCCGTGTCTGGAGCAGGCCGTGGCGATCATCTGGACTGGGTGGTGGTGGCAGTGGAGGTGAAGTGGACCAAGGCGAGGGACATTTAGGACAAAGAACTGGTCATGGAGAGGGACCGGTGTGGGGTGGGGGAGAGGGGAGGGCAAGGATGACGCCTGGGTTCTGGACTATCGTCGGACGGATGGAGAGGTGGGAAAGACTGGATGGACAGGTTCAGAGGGAAGGCACGCGTTCGGGAGGAGGTGGCGCGCTTGGCTTTACATGACAGGCAGGCTGATGTGTCTGTGGATGTCCGGGGGACAGGGCTGGGGCCTGAGGACAGATCTGGTAGCATCATCCCAGGGTGAGTGGAAGCTCCAGGGCCAGAGGGTGCCACTACTGAGGATGAGCTTGATGGAAAAGGAGCACCTCTGGGTGGTGGGAGGCCCAGGAGGAGCTCCTGAACTGGGGGTGGAGGGACTAGAGGAGCTGGTGGAGTGGAGGCAGGGAGGGAGGAGAAAAGCGGGTCATGTCACAGTAAGTCCCAGGGAGTGTCCTGTGCACTGGGCAGCGAGAAGCCCACGGGGCTGCTGGAAAGAACGGTGTGTCCTGTGGGTGGGGACAAGAGCCAGACTACCAAACTAGACTCATGGAGGACCCAGGTGCCGGACTGAGAGCTCTGCCCCTCCACCGCAGACAGAGTGCTTCAATCACGTGCGGTTCCTCCAGCGGCTCAACGCCACCCACCTCTACGCATGTGGGACTCATGCCTTCCAGCCCCTCTGCGCCGCCATCGTGAGTATGCCCCCGCACTGCTCGCTGCCCTGCCCAGCCCTGTCCCCTCTGCCCTCGGGGTCCCTGACAGCAGGCTCCTCATCCCCCAGGATGCAGAGACCTTCACCCTGCCCACCAGCTTTGAGGAGGGGAAGGAGAAGTGTCCTTATGACCCAGCCCGCGGCTTCACAGGCCTCATCATTGGTGAGCAGGCCCTCCTCCCCGCCCCACACCCACCAGCGCAACGTGTGGCTCTTGCGGGAGGGCTCGCTCCCCATGTGTATGTGTGTGTGTGTGTGTGTGGTTTTTTTTTTTTGAGAGGTTTTTGCTATAGGGCGCATGCACTCGCTGGACAGACAGAGAGAGAGATAGACAGAAAGCGAGAAATCACCCCCCCCAGGGGGGATGGCCACACCACAATCCCTTCTCCTCCATTCTCCTCTCGGGATCTTGGGCACACACGCACACGGCGTGAGTTCAAGCCACATGGTCCGGGACTCAAACCGTGGTCAACTACACGGGAGTCCAGTGACATAGCCGTTACGCTAACTGCTGGTCCCCCCATGTGTGTCTTGTACCCTGTTTGCGCCTGGCCTGTGGCTGCCCCAGACGGAGGCCTCTACACAGCTACTCGGTACGAGTTCCGGAGCATTCCTGACATCCGCCGGAGCCGCCACCCGCACTCCCTGAGGACTGAGGAGGCGCCCATGCACTGGCTCAATGGTTAGCAGGCTGAAGCGCAGGATGATGGGGGGTTGGGGACTGTGTCTTCCCTTGTCCTTCCTTGGGCAGCTGGCCGTGTCACCCGAACCCCAGGTGAGCCTGTCCTTCCCACTCCCGCATGCTGGTGAGCCGGGGGCAGGGGTCAGGGCAGGGGCCTGGCCTGACTCAGACCCGCTCTGCCCGCCCACAGACGCTGAGTTTGTGTTCTCCGTCCTGGTGCGGGAGAGCAAGGCCAGCGCCGGGGGTGACGACGACAAGGTCTACTACTTCTTCACCGAGCGTGCCGCGGAGGAGGGCGCCGGCAGCTTCCCACAGAGCCGGAACAGCCACCGCGTGGCCCGGGTGGCCCGTGTCTGCAAGGTGAATGGGGGTGAGGCGGGGCTTGCGTGTGGAGGCTGGATCTCTGACCCTAGCTCCTAACCTGTGACCCCATACCCTACCACCCCAGGGAGACCTGGGAGGGAAGAAGATCCTGCAGAAGAAATGGACGTCCTTCTTGAAGGCTCGCCTCATTTGCCACATTCCGCAGTACGAGACGCTGCGTGGGGTCTGCAGCCTGGACGCTGACGGCCCAGCCCGCACGCACTTCTACGCCGCCTTCACGCTGACCACGCAATGGTCAGTGCAGGGGCACGGGGAGGCAGCTGGGGAGGGCAGGGGCTGGAGCAGAAATCGGTGAGGATAAGATCCCTTGTGGGGCCAGCCACTGGCTTTGTGGGTGGGGGGGGGGGGGCCCCCCCCGGCGCGCTAATGTCCTGTGGGGGCCCAGCCACTGGCTTGGTGGATGGGGAGGCTGGATCCCCACATGGCTGACTTCTGTTGAAGTCCCACACCTGGTGGCTTGGAACACACACCTGGCACATGTGTGCCCAAAATCCCAAGGGGAGAGTGGAGAAGGGATTATGGCATGGTCATCTTCCCAGGGGGTGATTTCTCACTTTCCCTTTTTCTCTCTCTTGTTCTATTGAGCACACGTACCCTATAACAAAGTAAAAAAAAAAAAACTACACAGATTTATTATGGGGAGGGCTGGCTGCCAAGCTAGGGTTGGGCCAGGGGCCACAGCAGACCAGACACCCAGGAAAGGGCAACACCCCCTAGGGTGACAGCAGGCTCTAGACTAAGCGGGGTGGGCAGGGGGCAGCCTCTGCTCAGCATGACTCAACCCCTCCCCCGTGTCCCATTCCTAGGAAGACCCTGGAGGCCTCGGCCATCTGCCGCTATGACCTGGCTGAGGTGCAGGCTGTCTTCGCAGGTCCCTACATGGAGTATCAGGATGGAGCCCGGCGCTGGGGCCGCTATGAGGGCGGGGTGCCCGAGCCCCGACCTGGCTCGGTGAGCACCCAGGCCTGGGGCCAGGGCTGAGGAGACAGCCCGGGTGGGAACTGTGGCGGGGGCAGCGGTGGAGCTCTGAGATGCACCACCGTCCTCCACCCCAGTGCATCACAGACTCACTGCGCAGCCGAGGCTACAACTCATCCCAGGACTTGCCTTCCCTGGTCCTGGACTTTGTGAAGCTGCACCCCCTGATGGCTCGGCCTGTGGTGCCCACACGCGGCCGGCCCCTGCTGCTCAAGCGCAATGTGCGCTACACACACCTCACGGGGACACCTGTCACCACCCCTGCCGGACCCACCTATGACCTGCTCTTCCTGGGCACAGGTGCTGCTGACCCGACCCTTGATCCTGGGACCCTGACCACTAGCACCTCTGAATCCAGTCATTCCCGCTGGGACTAGTCCGTGCCCCAGGGTCCTGAAGCCCTTACTGAATGCTTATCCCCAACCTCAGGGCCCCAGGCTGTTGCCTGAAGTCTCTTGTGGGGTGCCAGAGCAGACACTGTTGCTGGGACCTGACCTCTGCCCTTTCCTTGCCAGCTGATGGCTGGATCCACAAGGCTGTGGTCCTGGGCTCTGGGATGCACATTATCGAAGAGATGCAAGTGTTCAGGGAGCCCCAGTCTGTGGAGAACCTGGTCGTCTCTCCGATGCAGGTAGTCCTGACCTGACCCTCGAAGTGACCTTGCAGGGATGGGGGAGGGGGTGGGCAGCTGGGCACAGCTGAGTCTGCAGCTGCGGGGCGCTACTGACCAGCTGTCCTCTCTGCTCCAGCACAGCCTGTATGTCGGGGCCACCAGTGGAGTCATCCAGCTACCGCTGTCCAGCTGCTCCCGCTACCGCTCCTGCTATGACTGCATCCTGGCCCGGGACCCCTACTGTGGCTGGAACCCCAGCACCCACGCCTGCATAGCAACCACCACCCAAGCCAACAGGTCCCAGGGTAGAAGGTGGGAGGCAGTGGGAGCAAGTGGAGGAGAAAGGCCCACCAGCGGTAGGGGCATATGGGCTAGTGGCTGCCAACGGCCCTGTCAACCCTTCGCTGGGGAGACTGAAGCCTGGCTCCCCTTGTTCATGAATCCTGATCTTCTGTCTCCAGAACCACACTGATACAGGATGTAGAGAGAGGAAATCGAGGCTGTGAGAGCAGCAGGGGCACAGGTGAGTGG